GAACTAGTGTAAAGTCCACAAGGGTAACAATGAATTGGTTACAGTATATGAACAAATACAACAAATCTTGTTTCGCTTTTTAAAGGTAAATTGCTATCTGAAGTGAAGTTGCATCTAACTGGTGGCAGAAACCAACTGTTCTACGCACGACACAATTTCTCTTACAAGGCATCACAGCATCTTCAAACTTCTCCATGTCAGCATCTACTTTCTTCATCTACACGTTTGAATGCTGCACACTAGTTTGTCACCATTTTGTGTCTGAGACCGAGAACAATAGATCTGGATCTCTTGATTTTAAGAAGTGATAGTTATCAGGTAGGTAAGGATGAGCAACAAGAAGCAATTACATTTCTTTGGCGAATCCCCACAAAATGTCAGCGATACAGACTAGAGAAAAAACTACAACCTCTTTAAGTAGAGCAGTTATCTCCAATATAATGCCTTTAATGTACAATTAAAAGACTTAAAAAACTAAAACAAAAGGTTTTATAAAAAATATTTTGACAACTGAATTATTAAGTTGGTTAGACTGATAAAATACATTCAAAAAGAAAATGCTCAGCTTTATAACAAAGCAGTTAAGAAAACACTCAAATCCTTAGGCAATAATATAGTATTTTACAGCTCAAAACATTATGCATGTGAATTCAATAATGCACCACATTTATAACAAGCATTTCATCATATCATTATGTTTTTACATTGCAAATTAACAGTGGTCTACAATGTCAACAACATTTAGAAATAAAGGAGCAGAATTTTACAAACCGTCTAATGTGCCTGTACTCCACTGAAAGTGCTTTATGATAGAAAGAACAAACTGCTTCAAAGTATTTTAATTCTTTTTTGAAAACAAGGAGATCCCCAGTCTGCACAAACCTGTTTAAACTATTAAAATACTCCAATTCCTTTTCAGCTGCCTGTGCTTATGGATTCTCCACCCACTTGGTACACACACAGCTTTGGAAGACGAATTTGACTCACAGAAAAAAAACAATCTTTGTTATGATGTGACTCTCTGTGATAAAGAGCTCCACAATCACGACACAGATCATCCCGTGTTTCCAGTGAACCACACTCCAAAGTGGACACCAAACAAAAACACAGATAAGGCTCTTTTATCCCTGCTGAATCAGATTTCTACTTTTCCCTGTCACAGTAGTTCAGCCTGAAATTCAATGTGTTCTCTCATTCAATGATACCAGTAGACTAATTAGATGTCAATCAATGCACAATGGTTGATTCTAATTTTAGCTAAAGTACAGTAAATTGCAGCCATTACACGTGAATTCATAGGCATAGTTTTGTTTTCCTCAGCTGATTACTACACAGAGGGGCTGTAATGAAGATTTGGCAATACTATCTCCAATACATCCAGTTTTAATGAAATATTTTTCAAACAGTAGTAAGAAAAGTTGTGCATCTAATTAGAGATTTATAGTTATGTCCAGGGCCATTTTCCAAAAGCTGTAACTCACAGGAAAGCAAAATATTTCTTTTGCAGCCCACTTTCAACAGATATATTATCACATTAAGAGATTTGTTTTTGGTCGCTAAAGGGCACCTTAACTAACTTCCTTACACTGTATTACAGAACATCCAGTTCTAGAATAAGCAAAAAAAAAAACATAACGACAACACTTGATAGTTACACGATAGTTATTGCTGAACTACATAGCACCTTAAATCATTCCTTTCTTTAATTGTGCTCATTTCAATCTGCTTTTTATCTCTCGTGACCTTAGCTGCTATTGTGAAGAGCAGCTTGTACAAACAATGTTGAATTTTGTATACTATAGAGAGGTAGAATCATTTTGTGAAAAACACGTGGATATAGTGTAGGACTTACTGCACATGGTCAAACTCAAACCACACTCAAACAATGGAAGAATTCCAGAGCAGCTCATTTACTTCAGTATATAACAACTGTGGCCTTTGCTCAACTTCAGTGCGAGTTTTCATAGCAAAACCTTAGTCACTAAAACGGCATATAGTGTATAATAACTTTCTTATACTGTAGGGGGAGCAGATGCTAGAATTAAAACATAACTCTCTAAACTCTAAATGCTGTTCCATACATACAGGTATTTACAGTGTTTTCATAGCAAAGGCAGGTAATAACTTTTACAGATTTCAAACTGAACTACCGTACTGTGTTATCATTATATACAAAAATTGACGAAGTGCTGTGTATACATATTTCCCAGCGTGCTTGTTCTAGGATGCAGTTTACCAGCTGTTAATTATGTGTCAATTTATGCCAAAAATGTTTAAGCACTTATATAAAATGGCATAAATCACTATAGTTGTTTTTGTTATTATTAGCATTTTCACAGCTTTTTACAAATGTACAATAGCGGCACAGTAGCATCCCTGATCCAAACCCACAAACTTCCAGTGAGTCCAGAGTCCAAAGCTCTAACCACTAAATAACATTAAAGCAGCTTCATATGTTAAACTGAAAGCATAGCGATTTTCATAGACAATGAAAGGGGTTTCTGTCCTTGACCTTAGGTTTATTTTAATGACAGAACTTTAAGAATTTCTGATTTTGGTTTTCAAGGTCTAAGATAATGATTTCCAACCTGTGATCTCTTTGTATTTGCTGAAACCACATCAATCTATGGCTACCCTGCTAAACAACAACAGTGTAATGCAGTGTTATTCAAGTGCTAATATTTAACTTCATTTGCACCACAGGGCTGAATTAATCAGGCATACAAGGACATGGCCTGCCTTTCCTGTCAACACATCTGGTATTTGAGCCAATAGATCCAGTGAACAAAATAAAATAACTTATTCAAAACAGAAACAGACTGGGTTTGGTATGCCATAGGGAACTGAAATATCATATACTGTGATAATGTGCCTGGTAAATTCACAATGAAAGCTATACACAGAAAAGGATGAACTGAACAAGTTTACATATCTAATGAACAATACAATAAAGCTTTAGAAAAAATACCAAATATAAAATAATTTCCCTTTAATGTGAAAATGCTTGTTTTATAAGAAAAAATAATCCCTTTCTAAACAACAAACATATTCTATGCATTATTTTTTTTTGTTTTCCAGCAAATTAGGTTCTTTTATTAATCCTGAGAAGTATATTCTTACAAGTTTTTAAAGTCTTATAGTTTTAAAATCTTAAAGCCATATAGTTTTGTAATGCATAAGAACAGTTTTTGAAGTTTGTCATTTCATTGTATCAGTGGATCTCAATGATATGTTCTATCTTGTTTGCTTGCCTGTGTTTCAAAGCACAGTCAAGTCAACCCAGTAATGTATTATCATCAATATTATTAATTCATCTACTTTATACTAATTTTAGTTTCCACTGCAATATTGTAGAAAAGCCCAATGTACCAATACAAATATATCACATTTTACCCATCAGTGTTAGAATTGTGTCTACATTCAATGGCACTCACAGAAACCATGCAAATTTTAACCCCTGTGGTGGAGTCTATTAATGTTGATATAAGAGCAGTCTTGTTGACAGTCAGTCATTACAGATAAATCATAAACACCAAAACCAGCTGTTCTTCCTCCTCCACACTCAGGAATTTTGAACACCTTGTTCCTTAGCAACAAAGATGGTTTTAAGCCCTTTTAGATCTCTTGAATCCATCAGCATTTTCCCTAGACTGAATTAGTGTGCTTAATATAGTGTGGGCTATATAGTGATTTGCTCTATGCAGATTTGTAGAAGCATCTGAATTTTATATTCAAATTAACCATGTAGCTATAAACAACATCTAAGGTAAAGTATACCCACATTAGACGATTTTTACTCTAAATTGTTATATGAAATGCAATTTGCAATGGAAAATAACAATATGTGGTCTGATGTAATAATTTTAGTTCATATTATAATTTGGAGCAGCTTGCATTGCATTCCAAAGATTCAAGTGTGACCAATATTTGCCAATTCATTTAAATATATTACCTGCAAATCGATCCATGTTCCGCAAAAATATATTTTTACTGGAAGTACATTGTATGTTCCTTATATGTAATGCACCTCACTAACCAGGGTTCCCTAGTTTTTAAAAACTTTCTTTTGACATTATTTTTCTAGGACTAAAACAGAAAACAGCCATGTTGTAAAATGATCCCTGAACCTTACCCTACAGGCTTAGCTCAGTCTTTCAGGACTGACAGAATTTAATGAGAAATAATGCATGAAGAAATTAGCCTGGATCAGGAAGACAGTGGCTGGTGGCTATAATCTATTCTAGTCACAGCACAACTCAAACACCCATTTCAGACATCTCATCAGAGCTCAGGGATCATTTTTTGCTGACCTTGACACATTAACTCTGCCTTAAAACAACTAAATGAAACATTCCCTTCACAGGTGCCACAGTGATTTATTAAACTACCAAATTTGAAAACTATCTTGCTGGTACATGGTAAGAAGCCTGGTGTCATACATATGCCTGCTGAATGCTTATGATTCATTTTAACTTGAAAAAGTTGACAGTGATGACATTAACTCTGTAAAGCTTCAGCTAAAAAAAATCTGCTAGTGAAAAACAAACAGCAATCTGAAATAGAAATCTGAAAACCCTGACCAGTGTTATTTAGCTTCCAAAAAGTCTTCCAAAATTTAACAAAAGATCTGAAATCTCCTTCAGTAACATGCAAGTCCACAAACATTTATTTAGCAAATAGTTTGTGCAATGAATGTAACACTATTTACTGATGAAAATCCTTTCTGTGTGAACTACGGTATGTATAAAACAGAGTACTGAAACATCTGCAAGCAGCTATAGAGAGAGCTAGTCTAAATAAAAAATGTGCACAAAATCGTGAGAATCTAGGATCCGGTTTTTCTTAAGGACAAACAACGGGCACACTGCCTATCAAATGATTTACTACGGATTGGGCGGCCTGCACGTTAGACTGAGAAAATACACATCAAGATTAGAAGTGGGTTTTCTCTAATCCATCACATCCAGGATGTCATCAGTCTCTGTTTCTCTGTCACTCACCTTTCTCATGGCCGCCTGCAGGTGGAGGGGTGGGCTTGGACTTGTCGAAATTGTTAAAGCTCTGACTGCGTCGGTTGTTGGCACCAACTGGCCCACGAGTCTTGGTCTCACTGCCTGCAGCTGACATCCTCGTGGTGGGGCCTGGAAGCCTGAGTCGAGGCACAGTGGAAGATGAGAAACAGACCGAGCTGTCATCTAAACAGAGAGGGCCCATCTGACCATCTTCCTGAGGTAATGGATCTTACTTACTACCCATTAAACACGAGAAGTAGCCGTGACAGAAACCAAAACCTCTCATCGCCCTCTTTTTACAGATATTTTACTCCAAATGGTAGCAACAGGCTGTATTAATCATCCATGGATAAAAAATTAGCTAAGAAATAATGACTGTCCTTCCATAAAGCTTTAATATCAGGAAATTAAAATTTGTAGGAGTCGATACAATACATACCGCATTGATTGATTGCAAAGATTTAGACACAACAGTGTAAATAATAAAATGACTAAATTCCTACCAAAGAATGCTTTGAAAAAAACCAAGTCTTTTGGCTTGAACAACACGATAACACTTTGTTTTCATTGTTGACATCTCCGAATAAACCCTGCTTATCGCTGATGTTTCACTGCAATGACTATTTGTAATGTTTGATGGAGGACATCAAGGGATCCATCTGAAATGCAGTGCTGATCATAGAGCTGCCACAACAAAAATCAAATTCAAGCAGAGGAGTTTGATTATATCTGATGATAAAGCTGACATTTCTCCCATAGCTCAGTGCTCTCGGCTTTCCCGGGCTATCTGAATTGCTGTACTAGCCAGAAGTGAATGTCAATACTGATTTACTCCTAAGCTTCAGCTCAGGCCTTATGAATTGCAAATTCCATAACAGGAATATCAACAAAAATGCTGTCAACCCTGTAAGCCTATTATAGTTTTTTAATACCAATGTAAAACATCACAGTGCTAATTTTCTATTTGCTATTCAAACTCTCATTTAGCATACCTTTATTTAATACATTTCTTCGCTGGAATAAAAACCTTGAACTGGGCTTCATTTGACTTTCAATTTCACAGTGCATTTGACATCCATTACCCAATTGCCTCACTAATAAAATGCACAGAGATTTAAAAAAAAATGTTTTAATAAGTGTTACGCCAGTCGATTTGTATGTATTCATTTTTTCTTGTAATTGTAAATAATCTCATCCTGTTATTCTTGCATTCATATTAGAAAAATTTTGCTCATGACTTAATCTGAAATCCATTTTATTTTATGTTTATGTTAGCACTCAATATATGTTCGAGCGAAGACAGTGGCACACAGGACAGTTTACACATGACCAACAGAACATGAGATCAAAGATTAACAAGATACAGTGTTCGATGCAGAAGAATGACTAAGAACAAAACATGACTATAAAGCCTTTCAAAAAAAACTTGCTAAGAAATTTGAAAGCATTAGATTAACTACACCTGACACGTTTAAACACTAGGTGGAGTTGTTTCATTGTATAAGAGTTTTGTTAGCACCTCGTAATTCCATTTATTGACAAAGAAACATGAAGAAATGCATGAAATAAGTCTAAAATAAATGTCCCTATGGCGTTCAGCAAAAAAAACCCCAGCTCATTACTTATTTATATATACAATTACTTTAGGATAAACAACTCCCTAAAGTCAAATACAATACTTAAGTATTTTCCACCAGTCTTTATTCTAACGTCTTTAACACCAGTTGTATTTTTAATTACTCTTTCATGCACAATTCAACCACATTTGGGGCCAAGAGGTATGTAGATGCTTTTAGCCTCAACTATAAGAGGAGACATCTCGAATGAAAAGGAAGGATGCCTTGTCAAATTATATGTGGTTTGCCCCCACCCCTCTCCTCACTCTCCCTCAAACACATTCCCCAGCATGCAGTAAAAGCAGAGTTAGAGCTATAGAACACAAACAAGAGCTAACCTAGAGCACTTTCTCTGACCAAGGGTAAACCTGAGGAGTTTACTGTGAGATGAATCCTTGGATGGAAGACTGTGTGATAAAGAGAGGAAAGAGAAGATGAGAGAAGAAGCACAGGCAAAGGCTACAGAAGACGATAGCTGGACTTAAAAAGCTGGGAAGAAATGAGCTGACACATCACTGAGTAGACTTTGAGGAAGATGCAAATATAAGACGAATGAAAAAAAAATAATCATCCTGCCAAGCATATTATATAAGCTTCACTCCCCACATCCTATACGCACAAAGTTATATAACAAAACAAGGAATAAACCGTCAGATTTGACTCATGCTGAATTTACTAGATTTCTCTCTTTAGTACTTTCAGTGTCCTACGCAAAATGGTGGATAAATTGAACAATTACAAAACCCATAAATAATACCTGAACATTTTGTCAAGTATGTAAAAAAAAAAAACTTCATACTGTGGTTATCAACTGTGCAGAAGACTGACAGTCTGAGCTCAATATCTTCAGTGTGATCAATGCAAATGCCCTTGTTACCTGGACTGCATTTCTGCTTGTGCTTTCTGCTGCTGCGACGCTGAGGGCTGTGCTTGGCACTGCACAGGGAGCGAGGTGTGGGCAGGGTGGTGGCCTGGCGGCGGAGGCCCAGCCTGACTGTGGCTCTGGGCAGTCTGGGGATGCTGGGAGGCAGCGCTGGGCGGAGGGTGGACTTGGTGATGTGGATGGTGATGGTGAGATGGGGGCTTGTGGGCCTGCTGCTGTTGCTGCTGCTGCTGCTGTTTGTACCGAGACAGACTGAAGAAGAGGCCCAAAATGGCCTTCAGGTTGCCATTCCTGATTTCTGCAAAATACGACAAAAGATAGCGGGCAGAGCAACTGTTCAGTTAAGCTCTCTTTAATACTTTAGCTAGAGTATCTTGACAAAGCGAACAACATTTTTCGTATTGATTCTTAAGTTAATTTTATATTTTTGTACACTGTAAATAAATGTACAAAACGAAGAATGCTTCTACACTTTATCAAAATGGTGCCTATTAAAAAAAAAAAACACAACCAAACTGGGTAAATGTAAAACTCAGAAACCATCTCGCAGTCCTGCAGTGACTCTGCCAAGCAGGGTGTTGAAAGGTCAGGGTTAAAAAGAATTGGCATTTATGAATGTATTTAAACCCCAATGAAAGTAAAATGTACAGAGTAACGTACAAATTACGTACGTACAGAGTAACGTACAAACCTCCAATTTACATCCCCAAACGGATGACATTTCAGGTATGTGCAGCACCATATTGCCATTTTTGTCTGCAAATCAGAACAAAGCAACGAAACTTCCGGTGATGTGAAGCAGCCCTATTACACCGTGAACAAGCAGGCTTGTCAATACATCTCTTTTAATCCAATTTAAATATTGCTCTCGACTTTGGGATAGTTCTGCCGAGAGGTCCTATTTATTTGTTAACTCTGCATGTAGATCACGTTGGAACATTTGTGTGGTAAAATGTGTGCTGCACAACCTGAACTTATTCTCTTGTACATCATATTACATGAGTCAGTACATGGACTATTGAGAAGGAAGGGCCAATTTTGTGTCATAATTCTGGTAATCTCTTGCCCGTGCAAGACCAACATGTCGAGCATACAGTACTTTCACAACGTTAATGGTTTTGTGCTTAATTCAGAATTTATCAAATTTTGTAATCCCATCAATTAATTTATCTTGTTACCAAGATTTAATAACCACTCTAAGAACTTGGGACTGCAGTTCCCCTTTAACCTAATGACAGAAGCTGTTTAAATGAATGCCCTTAATACTCATTGAGAACAATTAAATGCCAATACACCTAATTTTGTAGGAGCCATTCTGCTGTACTATAAAAAGCTCACGTTATTTCTCATTTTGTTAAGTGAACTGTAACATGTCACTGGAGATGGTAATGATATTTGCAGCTACTTAACATTATGAAGTAATAGTTTCGTTGGTACTGACATGGGATTCTAATGCAGAAGCACTGAGGACTCAAAATGAATGGAATTGATCTTCTGGAGATAAAATTGTAAAAAAAAATGCTATTTAATTAAACATTTACGGGTGGGGGACTAAATTATTAAGTCTTTAGAGAATACTAATAATTTGAATACAGACTGCTTAAATCCTTAATCCAAAAAGAAGACTTGATTAGAAGCAGTACATGCAGAACATACTGACAGAAGCAGTAACAAAATTATTCTGTATTTCTACTGCATCTAAATAATTTACCTTCTGCAGAAAGGCCCTGTATGTTGACACCTTTGGCTGCCAAGAAACTCAGGCAGGCATCAATGTTTTCAATCTGAAAAACAGGAGAAGTAAAAACACACATGAGCTGCTAGTCTCACCTTATTCTTCAGGAGGGCTAGGAGAAGTCAGTGGGCATGGACGAATGTAATCTTTAGATCCTTCCACAGCTGAACACAAGGTATATTCATAGCATATCAAAGGACACAATAGGGAAAAAAAACTCAAATTTACTTGTTATTTACTTTCATGTTCTTGAACCTAAATGCCCTTAAAAACCATTTTCTACAAATGAGGTTTGAAATGCAGAGGAAATACACAGAGCTCAATTAAACTGAAGAAAGGGGTTTTCATGATTTCCTTTTAGTAAGCTAATCTATCCTTAAGTATTACGCTAACAAATCGAAAAAATGGTTAACGTTGTTCAGAAAGTACAAACAAAATTGCTGCTCAAGACTGCAGCAAATATTGTTCCATTATATTGAAAAACAAAGAGTTCCTAATCGGAGTTTTATTGGAATTTTTAGAGTAATCTCGCAACCCAGCCCAATCCCTTCCCCCACTGACTTTACAGCTCTGCAAAGAGAACACCCAGGATAAAACATGATTTATGGCAGTGCCTTACAGGTGTATATCTACGCCTGACCTCTGGCTGTCTGACTGAGCAGAGTTTAAAAACCTTGTTTTCTAGAACATCAAGTAAATTGGTTTGCTTTAGGGCAGGAATAATTCCTTTTTTATTTCACTCCAGAGAGAAGAAAACGAAAAAGTCAGAGCAGCATGCGAAAGAAGACAGACGTATTATCCAGGACGGTATTTACCCTCTGTTGGTTGCTAGGCTACATTATAATCATGACCCAGCCGCTGTACCTTTCTAGTCAAATATGGCTTAGCAGAGGAATGACAGGCTGCCAGCACCACTCAAACACAAAAGGTACACATCTTAGCACAGGTAATGCATCTCAATTCTGCAAACCACATGACCAAAACAGCCATATTATCCATCACCATAGTAGATGAATTAAATCTTTGAACAAACTAAAAATGCCGGAATTTCTTTTTCGGAAAACAAAGGAATATATAGTCGGCAAACATAACCTACGGGTCACGTTAAGGTGAACAGCCGCAGTGCCAGCTGAGCAAGAGGATCGCGTTGCCTTTACACCCATTCACGACTTATTCTATTTAAGCACATTTGTGTCACGTAAATAAACAAATCCAGCGAAGTGCCATTTGATTTTCTTTAGTAATAACTCATCCATATCCCGTGTACTTTGAGGAGTGTCAGCTAAAGCAAAAAGATGTAAAGTGGGAAAGCTAGTTATAATTATTCACTTCCAGATGGAATTCTTGGAGTTAAATGAAAACAGAAAAGCTAGGACTGCTACCACAGTGTCACAAAGGCCACAAGTGACAAGCAGTCCTAGATGAAATGAACAACCAGCAGCTGTTTCGATGGTAGAGGCCTATGCATTTTTAGTTCACAGAGAAAGCCATACCCAACCTCTCCTGGAATCTCTAACATGCCCCATTCAGAATTCCATGCCTTTCAGAAATAACGCCAGTCTCGCTAGCCTGGAGAACTGAATTTAAAAATAACTCGCCACTCAATACATCTAAATAGAACAAATCCCTAGACACTCAAGTACAACTGCGGATATTTATGTGCTGAAAAAAAAGGAAATGCCACTATTCTGAATTTGAATCTGCAATTTACCACAAAAGGTTAGAATTCTTTGATAGGACATTCTTAAAACAAAGGAAAAGTATTAATCTAAGTACATGTTTAACTGTCGCTCCATCCATCATATTGACTTTTTTCATTATCATACAACAAATACATATCTAATGTTTTGAAACTAACCTGATCTAAGTCAATACAGCTGAGCCGTTGCAGGAACTGCAGTGTTAGTGCTTGCACCTCAAATTGCAGGCGCCAGATTCCAGTCCTGCTTGTCATTTTTAATCCTTCTCTCTCAATGCTCACCTGCCATGCAGTCTTACTTCTCCTGCCACTTCCTTCACTCCACATCAGCCTCGACATCCTGAAAACTACATCTATAATTTCCAGTCAACAGTCCCTCAATACTCAAACAGTCCCCCCATAATAAATAATGTGAGTCTCACCGACGTGCAACTATACTGAAGCATGTCTTCCCTAACTAATCCCTAGTGTAATTCCTAAAGAACGATGAACCATCCCAAACAGATAAACACAGAAAACAACAGATCTGGAAACATTTACTGAACCACACTGACATGGTCTTGAAATTTCTGTTAGAATCAGTGACTTATATGCAACATCCTTAACATTCTTTGTTTTGCATTGTTATGTTACACTTTGTTAAAATTATCTATAGCTTACTCTCTTGTAAAACAAGCATGCACTGACTCTTACAAAATTTTGTTTGCAATCACAAGTTTTAGTTGTATTTTTAGATCAGAACTTTCAGTTTTACTATGGACAGGATTCCTAGTCTTTTAAAAACACAGGTGTGTTTTTAAGCAGTTTCACATACAGTATTAGATCAATGAAAGAAAATCTCACCTTTGTCCCTTAGGTTACTTGTATTACGGTGGATGCTTTAAAACACCATACTTAAATTTCACACTAGGACTTTCGCTGTCTTATCTTTCTGAATTTGCATGCATCTCCATTGAATCCAACAGTGTTCCATGCTACTTTCCACTGCCAGCTACACCACTTAAAACAAATATTTACACAGGTTACTGAGACTTTTATGCAGCAGAAACATTCTTCTGAGATGAGAACTGGAAACTTCAAAATGGAAAACTATGAAAGAATCCAGCAGTACAGCATGCCATTCCCCCAAGAGAGGCTGTCTACAAGAGAAGTGTCAATCCCCATCAGAAAAGAATGGAGGTGCTACTGCTTGTCACCTGGGAAAGTCTGGCACACTTGAGAGTTAGGTCAAGAGATCACACTGTATTCTGTAGGACAAAACAAAGGCTGACATACACGATTGCTGTCTAACAGGCAGTTTCATTTTAAACACACAATAAAAGGAAAGTGCCAAGTATCACCCTCGCATAACAACAGCTATAAATGCACTTCACATAATTTTACATTTCAAAACATGAGAAATATTTGAAGTCGCCATTATAATTGGAGAAGAAAAAAAGTCACCCCCCCTTAGAATTAACTTAAAACCTGAAGAAGCAAAAGACAAGCCAAGTGTCTTCGGAAATGCCCAGAATTAAACAAAACGAAAATCTGATTTGAACCATCTGAGTGGAATTACAACAGTTGAAATAATCTACATTGTGTTTTGTTAACATGAAAAACATTACACACACACTGCCCGACTGCACAGAAAGGAAAGATATTACCTACAGTATGGACACCAATCAAAACAGACGGTATGCTGCAGAATGCAGTGGCAAATGTACAGGCAGATGACAGGCTGGCTCTTGCCCTCTGCTCCCTCCAGGACTCTGCTACACCTGCACTGTGCCTGACCTGCAGTGCTTTGCATGAACAAAGCAATCCTCCTGAATTACCAGGGCTTTGCTTTTCAGGGCTGAACTGCCGATACTGTACTATAATAAACACAAACACACAAAGATGAAATGTTGCTGGGCAGGCACTCTTTATTGCACTGATCAAACATTAGGCATTCATGACGATGCACTGCTCTTTTACTCTATTTGTATGTCAGCTCAGGTGTGCAGTCTTTATTTTAGATATGCACCTTTTCTTCACAAGACAAACACAAGCTTGTTGCACCACTTCTCTCCAATATATTTTGTAAGTCATTACCAGTGTTAGTGATGTTGCTTCAAAGCCTTGACTGCGTGTTGTCCACTGGGACACTTAAGGACCATTTTTTCCCCCACGAAATGCAGTATTCATTAACACAGAATGTCCACAATTATTGTACTGAAACAACCTGATCTAAACCCATGCCATTCCAGTCGGGGCACACTTATGAAACATTACAGACCGATATGAGCATTAAATTAGTGGGGTGAGGATTATGCAACAAACATCATTCTAGATTTATGCCTATTTATGTGAAAATAATGACAGCAACAGGCAGACAGTCTCTGAGGGCCCAATGTTGTTATCCCCAGAATTATTTTTGATGCAGTGTTTTAACTATATATTAACACCTTGATGATAAAATTTACTGAAACGCAGCCTTTAAGTTTCACTTCAACCTTAAGTTTGGTCCTAGTCATTTAGAGCTTACACTTCCTTGGCTAATTGGTGAACTGTGAAATTGGGAATATCCCACTTCTTCCTGTAATTGTAAAAATACAAATTGCTTACCAAGAATAGTCTTAATGCCTTTGTACTCCCTTTAATACTGCACAACAATAGAGATGGTTTTGCAAGCCCTGCTAAACAATGGGTGCTCCCAAGTAGACTAATACTAAAAGGGACTGTTTTCCTTTGATTTGTTTGCAATGCTGTGGCAGTGTCACTTTGGGTTAAGTCATGTAAATGTGAAGATTTTATCAAAGAGGCCCGTTTATTAGACGTCTCATTTAAACAGGATCAGGTGCTTAGAACAATCCTGAAATGCCTCACTTTGAACTCTCAGGGATAAAGGTGTAAAAATGTATATGAACCTTAAAGCTAGTTTTTAAGTCACAATGATTGCATTATACAGTATACTTTTTATCTTGGAGGACTTTTACTGTGTTTTTTCACAGTTTGTTTTAAGAATAGTGTATTTTATGGTGTGATCAATTGTGTAAATGTACTGGGTTTTATGTATGTTTTGAAATAATTGTTGTGTGTATAGTGTACTGCCTTTAACTGTATGTCTATGAGCTATATTGGCAACTTAATTTTCCCCCTGGGGATTAACAAAGTGTATCATATCGCATTGTATAAAACTACAGGTACAATGACAGAACAATTCTTAATTTTGAAGATTATTCTTCATAGCTCATTCAATTACATTTCATGTAATAAAGATGTCATACAGACGTATACACCCCCATGTCAACTCTTTAAAAAAAGCTGATTTATAGCACCCCCTTTCAGGTCTGAAGGTGCTATACTTGCACATTGTCATAAAATTACAATCCAATAAAAACAATTTCAGTTTTGAAAGCGAGGGAAACTGGCAAACAGATGCATGTGGGGTTACAGGTACATGCAGTTATGTTGTAATGCAAAAACTTCTTGTCCCAACCGGGTATCTGTTCTCAGGAGCTATGTTTCATTCAGTATCGGTGATGTCATTGGTGATAAACATCTGTAATACTCTATCTTCACATTATTTGTTTTAAACTATGTGGATTAGCATGTTGCCCAGAACGTTGTCACAACACTGCAAGTCTCTCTCCTGAGAGACATGAGCACACACAATCCCGATTTCTCAGTAATAACCTCAGGATTTTAAAATACTTCAGTGTAAGGTGCTCAAAACAGAAACGTTTTTTTTTCTCAAAACGGAAACATTAAATATTAACTTACTTTAAATTGAAGAGGAACAGAATTTTTAAATGGACTAACCAAGTAAGGGATCAATGACTGCAGGGGCTTAGTATCCACACTGTTAATCTCTGGCAGGTCTAGGTTTTAAAGCAAGCAATGTACTGTATGTGGCTGACATAGGGCACATAACCTAAACATTTGATAAAAGCATTAAAACAACCAGCCTTCTGATGCACGAGCAATGATTGAAATTTTTAAAAAATGCAAATTCACATTAGTTTATCTGAAAGAGCAGCTCTTCAGGAAGACTACTACATTTCAGGATTGGAATTCTCCATCATGGATGGTTGCCAATTAAAATATATATAATTAGCACTTTTGTTGATGTAGCAGTAGTAAGTATTGTACCCAGATTTCTTTACTTGAAGACAAAAAAAGATTTAAAAAAGCTACAAGAAGCCTAAGCTATGCTTTTTTTAGTTTTAACAAATGGGTATGGTAATGATCGGTTTGAATGCTTTTTAAATGTGCACATCACTTGTGTTAGTACCAATCAGGATAAATTCAGCAATTAAGCTTTCCATTTGCCTGGACAGTTTTTCACGCCTATTTTCTGTGGCTTAAAATGCATTGATGTGTTTTGAGTTAAACGCCAACATTTGCATAATCACTAAGTGTGCACCTGCTTGGTCTCTTGTCTGTAAGCACTCCTCTGTATTACTCCTATGGAACCTCAAAGCACTACTGGCAAAGCTGAATATTAATCGAAGCCATTTTCTAAATTGAGGCTCACACCAGCTAATGACCTCCCAGTTGTTTTGTTTGACAACAGAATTAGTACACAAACGTTCATGTCTTTAAAAACTCGTAATTACAGTGTAGAAAGAAAACAAGGGAGAGAACTGACATTTTATGCAACTGAACTGGAAAGAGTATTATTTGACTGTAATGACTCTTTGCTAAGTAATCTACATAATTAAACAGGGTGCTCCCGTACTTCAGCAGAACTGATGAATTATTTGAAGATTTGGGTGCCCTTTCCCAGTGGTGCTGAAAATGGCTTTAAGTACGTGGGTCAATACTGCATTTAGTTTTGAACAAGCCATTAAGTAAATCAATTGGTGGTGCACTCGAAAACTGATTACAGAGAACAACTGGTTGATCTTGATACTTTCAGTACCCCAACAAAACCAGTTCTCTTTGCATTTTAATGTTAACAATACAGAGGTGGAGGGGGGTTAGGCCTTATTTCCACGATACACATCATACACCAACAATGATCTGCATATTAAAAGGACACTGTTTTAGTCACTTAATTTGATTTTGACCTTTTAACTCACTTTGCAATGCATACAGAGAACTGTTTAGATGTACTGTAGTTAAAAAACCTCTGGAATTTTATACTTTTTGAGATCCATGTTAGTTACATTTATAGCATCAAACTTATGAGAAAGCCTTTCATGCAGCAACAAGGGAGCTCATAAATCAAGCTATCCTGACTCAAAATTAAAATTCACCTCAGTTAAACACAAGACAATAGAGCATCTGGAGTCTGCAAAATAACAACTCTGACATTTTCTTAAAAGGATCTGCACACAAATGTCTGTACACAAAAGTCACCCTCTTTCATTTGATTCTTCATAATAGGCGCAGTAAGACATACGAGGACACGAACTCTAAAAACAGGCCTGAAATACGGAAATATAACATAGACAAGTAAAACGTCACTCACCATCTGAGACCGACTCTTTGGGCATCCATTGATATCTTCAATCTTCTCATTTGCTGGACAGGGGAGAAAACAAAAGGATAACTTTTCATGAGAAATACCCAAGGCAATCTGTCCGCTCCTCGACTTCTCCAGCAACTGAAGCAGAAGACCTGTTGCTAGCCAGAAGCCGGTGCCCCACATTAATGAAATCCAATCTTATCAAAGCAAATGTGCGAGGGCCTGAGAGCCATCAGCAAACTTGTTGGGCTATTCTCACGGGCTCTCCCTGCCCTGCCCACAGCAGCTGAAACAAGATCATCCTCTAAAACCAGGCAACTGTGCTGACGGCACCTCTTCTAGGAGCCATCGGACTTTTCCCTGCAGCTCCAGCCACAAGTCAATACCACCAGCACTGGGGGAATGCAGAAAACTGTGGTTTTCTGTGCCTGTACAGTTTGCGTACAATCGGCTGAGTCTTTAGTCCAGACATGCAAAACTTACACTTTTTTTTCTTTCCCAATAAAATATCTGTACACAATATTTACATCTTAATTACGGCTTTTATACGCAACCTTAAGTGGTTGGTTAGCAGAGATCTAGCAGAGATCTGGAAGCATGTTAACTCTTCTCAGTTAAAGTGATTGATCCAATTAAGTCACCCAGAGCTCAGCTGGAAGGAAAACCAGAAGACACTTTGGCTCCGCAGGATAGGGGTTGCAGACCACTGCCTTAATTAAACACCCAATTTACAGCTCATTTTACTGAAGCATATGGCCTGGGAGAGCAACTAAGAAATGCAAATTAAACTGCATTGTGAGTACAAGCGAAACGATTGCGATGCAACATAGACAAAAAGGAAAACTCCTTCATACTCCTACTGTGGCAATGCATCTTGTCTTATAAAAAAAATTATCCAGAACAACGGCAAAGGCTTGTCCACCTTACTTAAGTACTGAGCATTTCATCTGTTTCACAGCTGCAACTACGGCCTACCGTATTTCCCAGCTGATTAAAAGGAATGCTTAACCGGTATGACATGAATGCTGGTCCAGTCAGATGTGTCTGGGTTTTGGCAGGCTCCACAATGAAATAAGAACCTGGGCTACAGGACATTTGGTAAGGCTATGGACAGGCTTTCATTTTAAATTTAAGATCACTTCAGAAAACAATTGTATACCCTTTTTTCCTTTATTTAGAGCCCTGAGAAAAAAAAATAATTACGGAAACAAAGTACACACAAACTTCCCACTAGCACCAGGCTGGACCTCATCAATATTACAGACAAACCTGCATCTGAAACTGAGTGCTCTACTATAATACACCGATTGAATTTCTTTTTGTAAGTTAAGCAGTCTGATGACTATAACTGGTAGCCGATAACTAAAACAACATGGATATATGGCTAGGGTCATCAGGAGGTTTCATTTTTTTGTCCTGTCCATTCCACTGAGAAACCCAACCAGAGTACAGACGGACGCCTCAAACCAATCCTGTGAACTATCATTTGTTTTTAATCAGTTTCAGCTCTATACTACTCTGTATCTAGCATTCACCCACGTGATCTTGACTTGTTGATTTTATTTGAAAAAATCTCTCATAAAAAAGCAATACTAATGTTTTCCATTTGAGGCAAGTGTGATTTGTTTTTCAAGACGTGTTCAACTGCACTGCCTGCACTCACTTAAAGAAGTGACATGCACTACGCCTCCAGAGAGCAAAACGTTTCCCTCGCTGATCGCAAGCTTGACATTTGCTGTATTTACTGCCCTCACTGGCTTCAGAAGTTGTAGGGCAGCAGAATAAGTTGGGTGGTATAGTATTTCATGACGTCTTCAGAAAAAGGCAGAGAAAACACAGATGGGAGCCACACACAGCCTCTTCAGCAAATGCAGTCAGCTGTTAGGAAGCCTGAGCATTTTCCCCTCTGAAAACTGACACCAGCATTCACCTATTTTTGTTCATTGTTGTTGTCTGGGGGTGGGACAGCATGCGAAAATGTCACTGGCACCTTCCAAACTCTCAGGAAAGAAGACAAATGAATGCAAAATGATTTAGTCACTTGCGGCGCGGCAGTTATTTTGCTAGCTATTGCTCTTCTTTCAAAATTGGCAAGGTTATTTGGCACCAAATACAAATAAATCAGAGTAAGATAAAGGAAATTACCCCTGCTGGGATTAAAGGTCGACCCAATGCAACATTTGAAAACAACTGTAGATGTAAAGAGTGCACTGAATGACAATAGATATGATATGATTTTATATGATTGTTTTCCCCCAATGTAACAATCCAGCAAAGCTAGACAGAATTTACCCCTTAAATACAGTGCAATGGAATTCAAATATAAAAGTCTAACGTCAATTAGTGATGGGTAAAATAATAGGAAACCATCTCTTGCAAAATTGTAGTGTAGTATAATCAAGGAATAACTCAGATTCTAAAAATAAATTTTATAGAAGAATCAGTTTCTAAAATCCTTCCATATATTTTATTATGTAAGCATCAGGGCTGAAATATGACACACGACAGACCTGCAATACAACATTGGAACTCAAACCTATGTTTCTAGTTAATATAGAGCAAATCCAGTAATATCAAGAGTCAGTGAACATGTCATATAAATAAGGTTTAAAGCAATTTTTATCATTCTGCTCACATGCACTGTAACCTTCTTTCCAGCGTGCAGAGAAAGGATCTCGGTTCCCATCAATCTGGCAGCACCACTATGATGCTGGATACTATAATCACAGGACCATCGCTGTTGGGAAGATGGCTGATTCTGTTCAATGAGTACTTTGCACTTCCGAAACCAAACTTTGAGCTTCCCATTTATGTCAACAATGTACCCATAAAACCACCTTTAGTATGTTATCCTAAAATAAAACTCTTTGCACTTGTAACTCATAAAAAGTTAACTCTTTGTACCTTTTGTACTAATTAAAATTTTATAGGATGGAAAATTCTCCTAAGAATTAATTTCAAAATGGGAATACACACACCACTTCAATTTTATATGACAATATTCAACATGCTGTGGTTTCTTGTTTTGGTACTAATGTTGGACATTTTCCTAGAATGCGTTACACATTCGATAACTAGAAACAGCTTTTTGCTGGGTTTTTAGCCCATTTAGATTTGGATCCAAAAGAAACTTAGTACTCTAAAAGGATACATAATTTATTGAAATTTAGTGTCTCTTTTATTCCATCAATTAGTCTCTACATGTTAATAGTGTATCAATCAGCTCTGAACAGCCAAAATAACAGGTATACATGAACACAACAGTAATAAAAGTCTCCATTACTGTAAACTGTTAAAGACGAATGAAAGAGAACAAGAAATAAAATAACTAAAAATACCATTCCACACCATGCAGCCAAAAATATGCATAAAGGCGATTTGAAATGGTGACCTACCTACAACCTGTATGATCTCAGCCAGCAGCACTCCATCTGTGACATCTTGCTGTAGGTCCTTAATGAGACGCTTGTGGCCTGACTTAGCCAGATAATGGTTGGCCCAATCAGTGTAAATCTGTGCAGCAAAAAGGGAAAAGAAGAAAAGTGTTACTCACTCGGGGTATCACAGAGCGCTGAAGCCGACACCTTTTTTATGGAATGTGAAAAACAAGGCGGACATCTTCACAAATACATAACGTTCGGGGAAAAAAAGTAAAAAAAACATACGAGCAAACTTGCTTGTTCTCAGCTGGATCCAACATATTGGCGTGGTATTCAAATTAAAGGCATTGTATACAATTCAAGTATTCAGGCTCCGCTAGCGCTTCTTTCAAATGAGGAGTCTGACATCACAGCTTAAGACAGACAGAGCCTTCACTGGCCAAGAGAGGCTGAATGGAGCATCAGACAAGCGTCTGAATAATCTGAATAGCTTTGTTTATAATTGGGTGTTTAAAACGGCTTCTCCATCATATTGGCATCTCATTATATGATGCCTGTAAGCAAACACCAAAACCGCCACTGCTGAGGAACTTATGAGATTATACTGTTAAATAATACGGAGCACTGTTTCTATAGCAGGTCTTAATGCTGGGACAGTTCTTCCACAAAACTCACTCCCAGGGGGGTGAGGGGGGAATGACAGGGAAAGAAAAAGAATCTGGAAAGCTGCACAACCATCCGAAAGCTCACTCCAACTACAGAACAAAACTATCAAATTACTTCATTTATTTCATTAGCAGGAACAAATTAGGATGTAGCGCACAGAAAATTACAAGGGCGTAAGCTTTAAATTAGAGCAACTGTCCTTAAGCAGCATAAATACACGGGAGGTTAATTTCTTTCTTTTTTAACAACAGCCTTCAACTTGCCTCCTATACCAGTAAAGTTTAGATTGCTTTTTTTCTTTCATCCAGAAGTTGTTGAACTCATTTCATTTTCAACTCTACACATTTTTTTTTATTTTTTGCTGTGACTATACTTCTGTGTGAATTAATCATTAGTGTGACAGCACAGGCATCATTGAGAATTAAACCCATTGTGAGTTCTGTTCAGTGGCTACGCAAATGATAAACCCTGAAACAAGTTTGCCTTTTATAACTTTACTGACTTCGATTGCACTATAATTAGTTTACAGGATTTACAAAGACTTTCATAGAACGGCACATATTTCATACACATCTATTAACATACACAAATCTATAAACAAAAAATCTTGAGTTTAAATGCAAAACCAAGTCCAGTGACACATTCAGGGTTGTCAGTTACAGTTCTTGATTTCAAAATCTGGACTGTAGAACTGGGAGGAAAGCACCCACAATGTCAGAAATTCTCATTTGGTTACCATTGCTACGTTGTGTGTTTCAATTTGTGTGATATTGCGACTCTGATAAAAAAACAGGTATTCAAAGAGAACTTGAAACCTTCTCTGCAAACACATACTACTGTGGGCTAAGCTTCTAGAATTTAAAAAGGCTCATGTTCACATTCTGGAGTTAAAATCCTCTCTGTCTCTCTTATGCATTGCAAGGGACAATAACTAAAGAGCATATTAATGTTGAGGGAAAATTCTCCTAGTCACTATTGTGTACAACTGTCAACATTTCTTATCCCAATAAAGGAGACAAATTGAAAGACTAATGTTATGTAGGGTTTGACTTTATATTCCCTATGACTCAAGCGGCCTTACTCACAAGAATGATTCACTGCTTTCCGCTGACCACAAACAACAGGTGCACAATTTTTTTTCACATTAAACATAAACCAGCAACTCTTTCAAGTTGTGTTCACAGCATGTCTTAAAAAAATGAATTACAACACCAAACAGGGGGCTGAACAGTACAGTAGAAGAAAGAAAATCTTTGAAGTTTATACATGGTTAGAATTTGCTTGGGTAATTACAAAGCAAGCAAAATAACTAGCCATCAGTCATGGCAGATAAATGGCATGGTCTAATTCTCTCTGTAAAAATCAAAAACTAAAAAGTTTACAGGGCATTTGAATAATCACAGCAGAAAGTTCATTGAAAGCTGAAGATGAGAGGTTATAATAGGATACCTCAAATAAGAGATTCACATAATGTCCATAAACTGTATGATACTAAAGAGCACATGAAAGCTCAGATGGTCTCAGGACAGGATTCACAGGAATTCCAAGTAGCCAAGCAAAGCACTAGTCTTAGTACTGTCAAAGCGTTGCTGCTAACCTGAATTATCATGATAGTCATGAACACAGTATCAGTTCCTCAGATATAGTCTGGATTTTGAATAATAAAGATAAGATCACTTTATTGGCCATATATAATTTCTTGTATTAGGAATTTGTCTTTTCGCATACCCCAACTTGCACTCCATGAGACAGACAGGGAGAGAAGCTTGGGGTCAGAGCGCAGAGTCAGCCATTTATATGGCACCCCTGGAGCACTTGGGGTGAAGGGCCTTGCTCAGGGGCCCAATGGAGTAGGATTCCTCTGCCGGCCGCGGGATCCGAACCGGCAACCTTCCAGCCACAGGCGCAGATCCTGAGCTACAGAGCCGCCACACCGCCCGCATAAAGTAACATGAAAGTCTGTAAGGGTCCATTTCCATCTGGAACGTTAAAAGCTACTCCCAGACAGATAAAAGCATATACAATGGTATATCGTCTTAAACGGCTCATGCAGCATTTTACTTCTTTTGTGAAACAGGAGATTATTCCACCCAAATTGTATTTCATTTCTATAGTGAGATATACACTTGACGCATGTTCCACTTATGTGGAAAGGAAGAACAACACCAGGGTTAATTAGTGATAGATGCTCTTTACCGGCTGAGTTGTATGGTGTATCTGCCATTAGAAATTATGAAGTGTGTCAGTATCAGCAGCAGCAGGACTGGAAATTAATTTCACATCTAACAGCAACCCTGTAAACTTCAAACAGCATCATAGAGTACACCATGAGGGCAAAAAGAAGCAGTATCCTCTTGAGAACTCTGACTGGTGTCTGAGAAATCTATCTGCTTTGAATGAAATAGGAATTTTACTGTACATCTCCTTTAAACTGTAGCTTGTCTACATCAAGCTGTCAGATACAGTAGGAATTTAAATATCAAAGAGCACTTGCACAGATTAACTGAGAATTCGGGGTAAGAAATTAAATAGTTAACTTTTATGATCATTCACATTACTTTCTCGGAATTCAGTTACAGCAAATTTCAATCCAAACGACACTGACAAACTGTTGATATCTTCAGAAGTACCCTTATATACTGTACATTTCTAACTTTCAAAATGTAAGCACATTCAGACCACCCCTAGAAAACAACTTCTGTTAACTTTTATTATCATTTGCCACCTTCATAATTCTTAATAGAAATACTCTAAATGGATTTGAAGCTTTACATTGCTTTCCTATGCTTCCAATCAAACATTGCAAAGTTTAAAAGTACAAGTAAATAAGTTGGGGTTTTTTCAGAACATGATTTGGCCCTTTGTTATCAACAGCACTTGAATCATCTTTCATGCCACCACTAGCCCCCCCCACCTACCCATCTGGAGGCTGTGTGAATCAGTAGCACATGACAAATCATTCAAACCAGCCACATTAACTATTACCACAAACTGAATTGATTTCAATGGCCTTTCATTTTTACCCCAAGAGCATGGTGTGCTATGGCCTTGGAACGTAACAAAACAAGGCACTACAAAGACTTTTTTGTACCCTCAGTACATATTAATCATTAACCTTGCATGCCTCAACAGAAGAGAAGCCTGAGTTTGTTCTAAATGGCCAATTAAACTTTTTAGTTGGTGTCTCTCAAAGCATATTTCTAAGTACAAGTCTTCAGTATAGATTGCACTACACCAGATAGCTATTCTTGTTGCACAAACAGGTGTTATTCCTAACTGAAGCGCACATTGTAGTACATTGCAGTGACTTTTATCAGTGACCTGACCATTTGTATACAAACACATTCCCATACGGTTTTCATTTTAAAAGATTATTTTCTTTTCCTTTATAATCCAAGCCTTAAAAAATGTTTCACAGCAGTATGTATAACTAAAACAAAACACCAAACAAAACCATCCGAGATTTCAGCATGTAGTTTTCTCACAGACAAATTACTATTTCAAGGACTGAAACAGTACCACAGCAGGTCCAGTTTAGATGCAGGTTTTCACAGCCCCAAAAGTCTCTGCCCTTACACACTCACTTTAACAGCTTCCTATCACAGCTGTCTCACACAAAGTAAAGGTCCAGGTAAATAAGACACAATAACAAGCAAAGTCACTGTGTCTAAGTGCATCAAAAGAAGAGTGAAGAAGGGTCACACACAATGCTACTGTGACATTAAGAAATACTCTCAGTCATAATGAGGATTTTAAAGACATCTGTTTCTTTTTTAAACCACCAAGTCAGTTGCCACCTATAAAGTTGAAAGATTAAGCTATTTGGTAAAGGGGAAAGTATTTTCTTTTAGTACTTAAAAGTTATTTTAACTATTACACACTACACAGCTGTTTAACTGTGATAAAATGCAATGCACAAAGTGGAAATGTTGTTAAAATAAAATTGTGAGGATACAACAGACTTTAATTTTTGGGGCTACAGTACATATCTTACTGGGAACCGACTGTTCTATATATATTGTTATATAACCCTGTAGTAACACAAAAATTCTGTATTATTTACATGTGAAACATTTAATCTAATCTAATATGAACATTTGTCCAAAGATTATTATAGCCTTCTCAAAATTATTCAGTCACATGTGCCACTCAGAACCTTGCATATTCAAAAAGGATCAGCAACACTGAGCTCACAAGAGGAAAGGAAATGCTGCTTGTGTTTAAACAAGAATTACCAGAAGAAAAGAACACCTAGAATAACCTCAGAGGTCAGCACACTACAAGCCTTGGGTGCCATTGCCCCCCAAAAAGTTTTTCATCATACACTTCAAAACACTTTGGAACAAAGGTCCGAGGAGACCTTCCACACCAGTTCAGGAATAAAATCCCCTTACCGTTTTATAGTGTTCGTAAGAGAGAAGGCTCTGGTCCCGCACAGGAGCCCTCAGGCCCGTGTTTGCTGCCATC